TTCACGTGGATATTCTCTAGGCAAGATGGGAAATATTTAAAGAATTCTTCGGGAGGGTTCAAGAATGTCGTAGTTATGCAGGATGGCATCCGGGGGTTCTTGTCCTGTCATAGCCTACCAGGGATGGTGCTCGTTAATTTCATAAAATTAAAGGGGGGCCGAAGTCTGCGTTCTTGGGGTGCACATTTGGGAGGCGACGTGGTCGTCATTTGGACCCTTTGGGCACGGGCCTCGGAAACATACACAGCAGTTTCTTTCAGGAATGTGTGTGAGATTATATTTTCTAACTGAAATATATCTTTTTGGGCGCAACGGTGACAATATCCCAGGAGTCAGGCTTCTTAACCAGCTGCTAATCATAAGAGCATCAGATGGGGTCGCTTACTGGGGTGGAGTAGACACTTAAGCAACATCTGAACTCAGAGGGCTAGGTGTCAGAGCACTGGTCACCAAGGAGAGAAGTTGAACTAAAGAGATTTATAGATTAATGGGAAAGGAAGGCACAAATAAAGCGGTTTCCCACCACCCCCAAATAGTAAAGCTTAGTGTCAACTCAAACTTGTGTGGATTCTATAATTTATTTTTTAAATTATTTAATTTTTATTGATGCATAATACACTACAAATTTTAGGGACATGTGATCTGATTAATTAACATTCATAAATTGTTAAGATTTGTCCACATGAAATTGGGACATCCATCACGCTTTAAAATGTTGTTTTCTTATGCCTAGAACTCTCAAAGTATTCTATTCTAGGTATTTCAAAACACACAAGTAGATCAATTCACATCCCGCCGACTTAGTTCATAGGGGTTCTGAGCCAACTGGCGCATCTGGGCTCCAAATGACTGGCCGATCCTACTGAAGGCTAAGCAAAGAATTTCTTTATCTGCTCTTTTTCTGTTCCTATGCAAATTGGTTGTGTTTGTTCATGGTCTGTGTAAGACAGCTAAATATGGTGGTCTAAGGAGCAAAAGTCTGTCTCCGTATTCTGCTCTAGAGTTTGGGGGATTAGGCTTTTTAAACTTCAGCGGTATGGTGCGTCTTGTGCTGTGATATCTTTTATGTTCCTGTTAATTCCTTTGAATCATTAAAACCATGGCTCGATGAGAGCGTTGGCACTGAACCAACACAACCGGGTAAAGGTTCTGGAAAAGATGATTCAGTTCAGGCGTGTGGACAGTCCACACAGTGCATTCTAAAACAACCTCGGCTCCATCCAGACAGTTTTACAACTTTCCTCCGGTAGCTGGAGATTTAAACAGAATAAGAAATTAAAGCAGGAGTTACTTCAATTCTTTCAAACCTTTTTTAGACTTCTAAGGATAATTTAAGTTTTTTTAAAAAGTTATTATTTGCATATTTTGATTTTAATGTGTCTGGCAATTTTTCTTACAAGCGATTAATTTTTGGAACTTCACGTTTCATCCTAAGGGATATTAAAAGAAAAAGGTGTTAGTAAAATCGGTGGCATCTCAACATTGTTTGT